TTCTCAGCCCCGTCCGACTGAGCTAATGTCCACAGTAGGGATTCCCTATGTATTGGGCTCGTCCACCCTTTTCCAGAGCACCCAATAAGCCTTTCACATATAGATCCCTATCAACAAAACAATCTCCAATCGCATACTAACATCTCATTTTATATTCATGTATCAATCAAATAGCATTTAAGCAAACAATACAATTTCATATCTCAACAATTAAGAAACGTAATTAGAGCATTTATTTCAAATCAGTCAATCAAATAAAAATTACGATCAGACAATCAATAAATGAGAAAGCAATTAAAAGCATTAATTTAAATCACACAGTGAAACAATAAGCAAATTAGGCAGTATAGGAAAATAGACAAGTAACACAGGCGAGCTAGAGCAATTGTACACTAACTAGTTTTCAGCTCCACTAGTGACTTGTCATTATTTTTAGGATTTTTCTTATTTTTTTTTACAAAACACAAGATATTCAATTATTAAGTCTCAATTTACCGTAATAGAGAGTAAGGTGAGAGACCCTTACCCGGATCAGTGTTTTAAAATGTCGTGCTACTTACTATGTCTCCTGACGGTCTCTAGGTTTCCTAAATTTTTTCTGCGAAAATTAAAATATTTGTCACGTACTTAAAAATACTCTCAAAAAGTCAAAATCGATGTTGAAAAATATTTATGGCAAATTTTAGGGTTCCGGCACGATGGTGGCACCTGCTCCACCACTCACAGTGACGATTCATCTCGGCCTGGCCAGTTTTAGTCAGTTTTACATGTATCCCTGCAAAAAAAAAAACATTATGAGGCCTTAGTTCGTTGAAAAAATCAAAAAATCGAAACCTACCGGCTTGGGGGGTCTTCGAGTGCGGCCAATTCTCCTTCGCGGCTGGAATTCTTCTTTGGCTAACATGCACCAAAAAGAGACAGTGAACATGATTGTAACAATCCCGAAAATCCAAAAGGAAATATATACTAATTTAAGTGCGGAAGCGAAATAAAAAGTTAAGGTTTACATCCCTTACACAATAACTTAAAAGTACTAAACAAATATCACAGAATGAATTATCTGAAAGAAACATGAGAAATGAGAAAAACAAAGAAAAATATAAAGTATCTAGCATCTACTCGCAATCTTCTTGCGGATCGGGCTTGGGAATCAGGTCCTCTTGATTTGAAATAGTTAAATAAGGAATGAACTACACTATCTCAGTAAGGACATCACACTATATCACCGTCACATAAGTAAAAGGTTGGTAGAAAATCAAAACGACCAATGGAACATTAGATTTAACCCAATACATTTACTTAAAATAAACTATTTACCATTTTTTTTACCATTGGAGAATTTATAAAAATAATTCATAGAAACAATAATATCATACAAATCATAATTTCATGCATAATCAACCATCACGGTATATATTATAAATCTATATCCATTAACAATAAACGAACTCGTAACCGTTTTTCGTTTCACCAATCTATTAGTATCCATGGGGATCCATAGGGGTGTCCCTGCTATACGTGAACCATTTTCCTTAACAAACTTAATTACAGAGCCGTCCCCATACGCTGTCCGATATGAGCGCCAAGACATTAAACCTCAATATCCCGTCTGGTATGAGGGTGAAATGGGTCGTCCCCATACTCCATCCGGTATGAGCGCTAAATTACCAAGTCTCCATACCCCGTCCGGTATGAGACAACGTTCACGATAGGGTTCCCTATGAACTCAGTCTGTCCACTATCTTTCAGGATATCTAGTGAGGCTGTCAACTTACTTGTTTATTAGATCACACCCCTTTCCTGTTTTTCCTTAGTCTCCATTACCAAATCAAACACAATCACATAAACAATGGACATACACCCGGTAATACAATCATATCTTAAATATCAAAATCACACAGTGGTCAAGTAAGACAGTAATACATGTATTTAAAATCCTAAACCAGATATCATCATGCCTTTAAACTGTAAAATAAATCAACAGAAATCAATTTTCGATTCAGGCTCTATTAGCAATCTGTAATTAATTATGCATAACTATTTAATTTGTACAAAAGACCGCATTATTATTTATTTGAACTTCAATTATGTAATAGGAAATAGGGTAAGGGGTCCTTACTTGATTCGACGCTGAAAGCTAAGTGGTTACTGTGCATACGGGAGGTTCCTCGGTTCTTTAAATTTTTTTTTAGGAACTGAAACTCGCTCACAGTGCCTATAAAAATCCCAAATAACCCAAAAATTAGACCAAGGGCCTACTCGGCCAATTTTGAAAATCCAACACAGTAGCTCTGCCGTGCTCTAGCAATGGCGCTGCCGCGGGCGGCGGCGATCCGCCTCGGGTTGGCTATTTTCGGCCGAATTCAGCCAAATTTGCATCGGTTCCTGTGAGAAAATACACTTAGGGCCCTCAGTGGGCCAAAAAAATGTAAAAAATTAAATCCACCGGCGGTGGAGCTCTCCGGTGCGGTGGCTCCTCTAACTCACGTTGCAGTTGAGTGTTTTGCTCCAGTCAACTTGTAGAGAAGGAAGCGGTGATCACAAAGATGAAAAAATCACATCGAAAATGGCCTCATCGGATGCATTTTTTGAAACACCCCACGATAGTATTTTTCGATCAATTGGCCAGTGGTTTCACTCTGATTTTGCCATGGGTGGTTTAAAATTGAATTTCGTGCTAGAGGAGAAATTTTTACCTCGTTTGGCGGTCGAAAATTGCTCTGGTGCGGCGGCGGTCGGCTCTCCGGCGGCTGGGCTATCTTCTTCGGTGAGGGGCTTTGGTAGCTAGGGTTAGGTTTTGAGTACGGATGGGGTTATTTATACCCATCTGCTTTTGATCTGGGTCGTCCATCACTTTTGATCTAGACCGTTCGATCACGATTAAATAGGGAGTGAATCTGGGACGTTCATCCCGATTCAATCTGGGCCGTCTATGCGCGATTCAATGT